TCACCCTTATGGGATCTCATCTAGGCCTCTGGCACCCAAATTTATGTATCCAGCTCAGACCTTTCCTTTAAACTCCAAACCAATTCATCCAACTGTCCACCTGACTTCTCTTCCCAGATGTCTGCTAGCTTCTGAATCATTGTCTCTGCCTAACATTGTTAAGCACTGCACAAGTACAAGCCACTGTGATTAGCAAGTGCGACTACAGACCAGGAAGGCCCAGAGAAGGGAAATACCTTGCCCAACAGGCCTGCAAGCTAGAGTCCTCTCCCAGGGCTGAGCAGGGCAGGTTAGATGGGGAACAGAACTTCACCCCAGGCTGTGGGGCCCTGACTATCTTCCCCTTCCTGCTCAGAGCACCAGGCACCAAGGCCACATGCCGGCTCTACCAGTGACACGGTGGTCACAACCAAATACCCTTGGAACGGGGACAAGATGGGAAGCCATCCAGAAAGAGCTGGCGAGGGGGACACCTGCCCATCCTTCTCTCCTCACAACAGCTCTTCTCCAGCCCCCTGGGAGAACAGAAAGAACGCCGGCCCCTTAGCTTTCTGCTGCTGCCCCCTACTTGCTCCCATGTCCAAAGAGCCCCCGTTCCACCTCCAACCTTTCTTTCCCGGGTACCCACTTCTCTTGCCTCCACCTTGTGCATTCATCTGTGGGGCCCTACCTTCTGTTCAATGTTTTTCCTTTTTCATGCTGCCGCCAGGCACCTCTTACCCCACCACAGCTGTGCCTAACTTGCTGATGAGTTTCAAAGAGCCTGGGCACCACAGTGCCCAGGGGGAGACCCTGAGTCCCTACCCAAGGGCCTCCCAAGCCTCTGCCCAAACTCGACTGTCTCAGGCCCAGAATCCAGGCCCTGGAGCTCCAGGGCTGGAGAGAGCCGTCAGGGCAGCTCCAGCCCAGCAGGTCCCACTGGGCTCCCGGGTGGGCACTGCAGCACTGCCTTACCCTCTGAAGAAAGAGAATGGCAAAATCCTGTACCAATGCAACGTGTGTGGCAAGAGCTTTGGACAGCTCTCCAACCTCAAGGTATCTGCCTCCCAGGCTCCCCTGCTCCCCTTGGCATCCTCAATCCCCCTTCCATCCTGCTTCTAGAAGCAAGGGCATTAAAGCAAGAAGGAACTCCTGGGCAGCCTCTACGTTGTGGCCTTGAATGGTTCACTTGGCTCTTCAGTTTCACTTCTGTAAAGAGGAGAGCTAGGTTAAGATAGCTGCCAAAGTCCTCTCTGCCCTAAAAGACTGGCTATAGGGTCATCTCATTTAAATTAAAAATGGGGAACTGAGGCTCCTAATGGGAAGTGTTTGCCCGAGACTTATTTAACAGTGGCGTTAAGTCTTGATCTCAGTGTCTCAACATTTAGTGAAAGGCCCTTTGCTGAACAACCATCCTGACTGGATTCCCAGTTAAGCCTCCACGTGAAGGTCAGGTGGGGGAATGGGTAGGTTTTACTGAGTCTAAACCACATTTTCCAGCAGGGGGAGACCAAGGGCTCATCTTGGACAGGAA